CTGTCAGCCAAGACCAGCTGCCCTACAGGCCAGACCAGGCCACCAGGTAAGAGAGTAGTTATAATAGAAGCAGGGAAATTTTGGACAGGTGTCAACCCCCTTCTCAGCATTCTTTAAGATGGATTATGCACAGATTGCTAGGGGCTGGTCAGGCACTATGGAGACTGGAGTCCAAGTGTCTGGGAACCCTACTATCTCCATGCATCTAATAGGTTAGGCTGACCTGATGTCCTATTGGGAAAGATGTGCTGGCAGACAGGGCACAGACAACTTCTACCTGTCTTCCAGAGGCCCAAGGCTGTAGGGAAGATTCTCCACACATGCTTATACCCCCACCTCACCCCCAATGAGGCTGTGAAAAGAATGTAGGAATATGCTTTGGCAAAACCATTCTGGCCCCAAGGGATGGTATACGGTTAAATGATGTGAGCTCAAGATGGTCATTCATTCTGCAGAAGGCTCTGGTCACATTCTAGCTGTCTCTTTTAGCCAAGTGAACCATGTTCCAGAAGAACAGTGGTATCTGTATTATATCAGCGTATCCTACATGTCTGTCTGAGAGCATGTACACCTTATACCATCACTCAGTTATGTCATGATATTTCTGAAGGGGCCAGAAAAGCTGTTTGTCCATGGTGGGAATAACAGTTCAACCCTCCTCCCTGGTCATAGTTGTCTTGTCAAGGCCTCTGGTCAATGATCTACTGGCCCCTCAGGGGAAGCTATTGCTCCATAAGGGTGGTATCCACCATGCTCTGTAGCATAGTGGGTAGAAGGATGGACTTGGAGGGAGGATATACTTGAGTTCAAATCTTGCCTCAGATATTTACAAGTTGTATGACTGGACAAAGCATTTAACCTTTCTTAGCCCCATTTTCCTCATCTGCGAAATGGGGAAATAATGGCATCTATCTCATAGGTTTGTTGTGAGGATCAGATGAGATTATATATGAATATACGATCACTTGTAACATTCAAATTGACCCAGCACCATATTCATTTTCATCATCCAAGTTCTAGGTTAATCTAAGGCTATGTTTCAATATTTCCTTATTACATTTAATAAACTGGATAAATCTCTTTCCCCATAAACCCGTTGTTTAGTTCTAAGTGCATTGACCTTGACCTTGGCTTGAAGGTCACACACTAAGTTAGTGGCAAAGCCAGGCTAAAATCTCGGTCTCAACTCTTAAGCCATGCTTTTATTCTTCTGTGGTCGGTGATGGATGATGAAGATGGAAAGGAAGAAGGGGAGAAAGGTGTGATGACAACCATCTTCCTGTCAATCAGTAAGCCCTCTTCCTAGTTTATCTCATGCTTAGAAAATAGAGTATTCGAACATTGTGGGGCTGGGGGTGGGGGGAGTAAAAGGGGGAAAGTTAACAGCTTCTCCAATCTAAAGCTGTAAGACAGGAAATGGCGTTATAACTCTGGGGTGGAGTCCAGGGGAATAAGGCAGTTTTGAGCCCTTTCCCTCAGACAGAGTTTGCTCCCCCAACCTGGGACAATGCCTTGGTCCCTTAATAGAAATGACAAGAGGGAAATCCAAAATCTTAGTCCAACTTCCCCTTTGTTCCAGTAGGTGGCAGCTCTAAGAAGACCTCGGTCCATCCTGCAGGAGCAAAGGTAGGGATTTGGCTCCCTCTCCCACTCCTAAGGCCATCTATACACACACACACACACACACACACACACACACACACACACAACCAGCCTGCTAACACAGACTAAACTAGAGACTTAGTTGAGAGGCTGCCCATCAATTGGGGAATGGCTGAACGAGTTGTTGTATATGAATGTCATAGAATACTACTGTGCTACAAGAAATGATGAACAGGCTGACTTCAGAAAAACCTGGAAAGACTTGTATGGCCTGATGCTGAGTGAAGTGAGCAGAACCAAGAGAACGTCGTACACAATAATAGCCATGTTGTGCGATGACTAATATTGATAAACTTAACCCTTCCCAGCAATACAAGACATCTCCAAAGGCCTCGTGATGGAAAATGCTATCCACATCCAAAGAAAGGACTATGGAGTTTGAATGCAGATTGAAGCATACTATTTGCTATTTTTCCCTTTCTGTGGAGTTTTGTTTCCTCTTTCTGGTGGTTCCTCTTATTGGTTCTAATTCTTACTTACAACATCACTAATGTGAAAATATATTTCATAAGAATGTATATGTATAGCCTATATCAGATTGTGTGCCATTTTGGGGAGAGTGGTGGGGAGGAACAGGGAGAAAAAATTTAAACTCAAAAGCATATGGAAGTGATTGTTGATAAATCAAAATAAATTAATAAAAAAATAAATAACATCTTTGGGGAGAGCCACCTGCCCTTGTCTCCTCACTCTCCCACCATCTTTCCATCTCAGTGCTCCTACCACAGCAGCTCTTCCCCAACCAGAGCCACAGGGTACCCAGGGCCATCAGAAATGGGATTCAACTGTCTCTTGCCACCCACTCTCCAAATACAGTTCCTTTTCACTTTTGTTTTCATCTCTTTCTCTGTATGCTTGTATCTGTCTATTCTCTGTCTACATCTATGTAGCTATCTTCCTTTTTTCCTGTCTTTTCCTCACTGTATATTTCTTCCTTTGTCTCCCTGTTGGTGTGTCTTCCTCCTTCTCTCTCTCCCTTTCTGCCTTTGTCTCCCTCTCTCTTCTATACTTGTCATTGTCTCTTTATCTTCTTTCCCTTTCAGACCTCCCCACTCCTTTCTCCACCAATTTGAGCAGTTTCTCTGGCTGCAGTTCATTGCTCTTACTGAGGAAAAGCAGAGGAAAGGAGGCCGGGGTGCAGGGGTCAGTGGGGGCTTCCTACAGGAATCCCCCCCTCCGCCCAGCCCAAGGACAGAGGGAAGGAAGAGAGGGCTGGGCTTTCTTTTTGGGTAACAACAATAAAGTGGTTTATTTTTCTGTCATTCCCTCCCCCGCCCCCACTGCAGTCTGGTCACCTCCCTTAACCCATCAGACCATGATCAAGATGGACCTAGGGTTAAAGAGGGCAGCTGAGCATAAAGCAGGCGTCCCCTCCAGGTCTTTCTCTCCCCTCACCCCACACCTGCTCCTTTTTCTGACTCTAGTATTTCTATCTGAAAGACAACGATTTCGTTTGTCTCCCACGTGCATAACCTCAGAGGTTATTTTCGAAACTTCCTTCTTCCTCACTTCTCAAAGCCAATCAGTCACCAAGTCCTCTTGATTCTATATCTGCAACTGCTTTTGAATCCTGTCCTTCTTGGTTCCCACTGCCACGTATCACCTACCTGGACTATTGCAATGGCCTTCTAACGATTACCATGCTCTCTCTAATCCATCCTTCATACTGCTACCAGACTAATTTTTCTTAGACATAAACTTGGTCACATTACCCCTCTGCAAGACCTTTGGATAACTACCCATTTCCCAGCCAGCAGAGTTCAAACCCCTTTGCCTGGCATTCAATGCCCTTCACAATATTGGACCACCTATCTTCCCTGCTTTATCTCACATCATTTCCCAATGTTCATTCCAGTCTCCAGCCAAAGTAGACTGCTAACCTCTCTATAATTTTTCTCCTATTTTTCTTCCGCCTGGAACACCCTTCCTCCCCCTCCATGACACCCTCCCCAGCTCAACTCAAATGCCACTTCATCCAGTAAATCTTCCCTGATTCCACCTATCATTATGAAGTTCTCTTCCACCCATACCACATAGCATTTTCACACCTCTCTAATGTACTTGTCATGTAACTATTTTATAGTAAGCCACATATATTATCCTCCAATAGACTATAAGTTCCATGAGGGCAGGGACTAAGTCTTATCTAAACTTTCTATCTTCCCTAGCTGCTAGAAAAGGACTTTGTGTACAGTAATTGCTTAATAAATGTTCATTAAATTAAATTGAATTGAATTGAGAAAATAGAGCAGTACCCAAGCCCAAAATCCTGTGAAGGCCCAGAGATAGGGGTTCCTTACTTCTCTATTGGGGCAGCCTCTTAGAGAATGAAGAACAGCTACCAGCCCAATCTTCCCCCACCTAGGAATCCCTGTGGTATAAATCAGCAGCTCAGCAGAGGTGGTGGAGAAAGAATGGGACGGAGAGAGGAAGGGATTCTCCTCACCGCCAATCCAGAAGCATTTCATTTCCTTAGCCAGAATCAACATTGCAAGGAGAAATCGTCCCCAGCCTCTGCTCCCTTCCAAGTCACTGCACCGGAAAAGCTTCAACCCTTGCACATTTCAATTCTAGAACGCTATTGTCCTTGGGAGGGATCACATTTCAGCCCTTAACAGCTGCCCATTTAGCTGGAATTATCACGGCATCTTTGACTCTCAGAAGTCTAAAGGAACTCCAAGGATATTTTTGCTAGAAATGTGCAAGAAGCTTCTGCTTTAACAATTCTCTGCGATGGGGAGCTTATCACCTACAGAGGCAGCCCATTGTCGGACAGCTCTGATTGAAAGGAAGTTCATTGTCATTGAACTGAAATCTGGTTCTTGGCGACTTCCTCCCTTTGCTCCTTGTCCCATCCTTGGGGGACAAGAAGAACGAGTCTCATCACTCTTCCACATGCCATTCCGAATACCTGAAGCAAAGAGAATGCATCCCACCTAAATATTTTCTTCTCTAGGCTAAACACTCCCAGTTCCTTCTTATTTCTAATAAAATGAACGCCAGCTTGTTCTGCCCTTCTCTGGACCGGTTTCTATTTATCCATGTCCTTCCTAAAGGTGACACCAGTCCTCAAGCATTGCTGCCCCCTCTCCTCTTAGGTGCAGGTACCAGAGCTATGTGGACTCCGCGCCCTTGCACACTACCTGTCTCCCCGCAGCTTGGGCCCGGCTGACAACTCGGGGGCAGTCCCGGGCTGGGGAGGTCCGGGAGCCAAACTCCCTCCGCCCTTTGCTCCTCCTGGCGGGAGTTCCCCACTCCGCCCCCCTCTGCGGGGACCCAGACCCGCCCCCCGGCCCCGCCCCGCGGCGGGCACAGGCACGTAGAGGAGAGGAGTGGACTTGACGGGACCGGACAGCCGTGCAGTGCAGCGCAGCCCAGCGCAGCCCAGCGCAGCGCAGCGCAGCCAGCGGCGGCGCCGCACACCGAGCCTCGCCAAACTGACGGCCGCTGGAAATGAAGAGAGGGGGCGTCTGGAGCCGGAGCCTGTGGCTGATTATCGGTGTCCTGTGGGAGGCAGGTGAGGAGTCACCACGGGACGGGGCACAGTGCCGCTGGGAATAAATGAGATGGGACGGGACTGGACGGGACGAGATGGGACGGAATGGACGGGACTGGACTCAGCTCTACTCCCAGCTTGGCCATGGGCTTTGACCGCCTTCTCGCTGGTCTTGCCCTCTGGCCCGGACCTTTCGGCCATCTCTGCTCACTCCCACTTCCCACTCCATGCTTGTGCCAGGCACAGTGCCCGGGAGTGTCTCCCCTGCACTACTGCCGCCACCTCGAACCTGGCCCAGACCCGTGCGTTCAGGCGGTCCCTGCATCCCCTCATCCCTGCAACCCCACCCCCACCCCGAATGGCTCCTGGGAGAGTTACCCCCAGCCCCGGCCCCGCGTATACCGTCGTGGGCCGAAAGCCCAAGCCCAGTTTCCGCCAGAGGGCGCCCTGGGAGGGGAAGCCGCCACTGCCCACCATCTGTGCCCCCCGACTGGCTGCAACAGGACTGCCCACGCGTCCTTCTCGGCCGAGGCTCCGCTTTCCAGTAAGATCCCGTTGTAGCAGGGGAGTCTCGATGGCCCCTGAGCCCCGAAGGCTCTGGAGCAGGAGCAGGGCAGGAGCAGGGCAGCGAGGATGTTGTTTTGGGACCAGAATTTTATGCCAGACGGAAAAGGGTACAGACAGACAAGGCTATGAGAACTCAGAGGAGAGAAGACGACCTCTGTTTGCAACAATGACTAGGGAAGGCTCACCCAGTCGGTATTTCTTCAGCTAGACCTGGATGGCTGAATTACCTTGGATAGGCAGAGAGCATAAGGAAGGGCATTGTGGAGGGTGACAGCATGAGAGAAGGTTTGGGGGATGTTTCAGCAAGACCAGAACTCAAGTTCAGGGGTCCTATGTTGAGGCAGGAAAGATAGTTTGGGGGCCCCATTGTGGAGTGTTTTGGGTCATGGAACCATAGAATATAAGGATGGAAAGGACTTTTAGAGACTATCGGGTCCAGCTTCCTCATTATGAAGATGAGGAGCCTGAAACACAATTAAATCCTGGGATAAGGAGCTTGGACTTACCCTGTGTACAATAAGGAGTTATTGAAGATTTTTGAAAAAGAGAATGACATGGTTAGATGTGTACATCAAGAAGATTGTAATTGGCATATAGACCATGAAAATTAAAGATAAGAGACAACTTAGAAGGCTTTTATGAGTCAAGTAAAAGATAATGAGAAGCTGAGAAGGGGAGAGGGAGGAAAGACAGGGAAGAATTTGAGAAATATTATTGGAGTAGTATCAACTATTGACCACTGATTTGTCATTTGTTTCCTTTTTTTAGCACAGTCTGTAGACAGATAAATAGGAGATGCTATAGACAGATTATCAGCAAAGCATTTAACAAATCTGTTATGCTATCCTTGTAGCATAATGATGGAGAGATATGGGCTGGATGATAATATGGTTAGGTGGATTTGGAACTGGTTGGAAGATCAGACTCAATTGGTAATGATCAGTGTCGGTGTGAAGTTCCACAAGGCCCTGCCTCTAGTTGTTTCTGTTCACCATTGTTATAAATGATTTGTTTGAAGGCAAAGGGTCATAGCCACAGAGATGTAAAGACCTTAGAAGTCATCTGGTATAATTTCATTAATTTATAGATGAGGAAAGCATAGCAGATTGTCCAAGGCATCTATGCTTCAACACTTTGCAGATGACATGAAACTGGGAGAGATAAACACATTAGGTGACAGAATCAGGATCCAAGAAGATCTTTACAGGTCAGAATAAAGGGCTCAATCTAGTAAAATAGAATTTAATAGGGATTAATGTCAAGTATTATGCTTGGGTTGAAATAGTCTGCAAGTACAGAACTGGAGAGATATGCCTAAATAAACATTAATAAGAAAAATGCTTGGAGTTGGAGTGGACTGTAATGTAAAAGAATCATCATTGTAACAATGACAGATTTATGATGTGATCTGCCCTCACCCTGACCAGTCTGGAATTGGAGGAAAGGGGCCTAGTTTGAGAACTGGAAGATATCTTTGAGGCCATTTAGTCTGACTCTTTAATTTTACAGATGAAGAAACTGAGGCTCAGATAGATTATGTGACTTGCCCAAGGCCACACAGCTAGTGAGTGGAACAGCTGGAATTGAATCCAGGTCTTCTAATTCCAAATCCATCACACATTACATTGTGCCATGCTGCCTCAGATCTCACCCAGGTCCTCCCACAATCACTACTCCCCGACCTCCAGCCCCAGTCATGCTGCAGGTCTTTTAATCTTTTGTGACTACCATGCAACACTTAGGCTATTTGCTATCCTTTTTCCTCTCCACATAACAAAGTCAACTCCTTTTCTGAACATACATATCCCTCCCTGATGTGGTCTTCTACAGGTTCTACTCCATTGCTTCACAATGGTGTGACACTGATCTTCACTTCTCAAAGCTATACCTTTAGAGTATAAGCTTTGGCAGGGTAGAAGGCTTCTGTCTTGGGGACAAACTGTGTTTGCCATTCCAAGAGCGACTTCTCTAAGTATAGTGTGGTTCCATATGAGCAGCTTAGCCCCACTGAGTAATGAATGTTTTGGCCATGGTCACCCAGTGTAATGTGGCAGCCATTTAGGTGAGGATGGCCAGAACTTAAGGGAAAAATGAAGGCTGGACAGTGACCTGAACAGAGGAAATAACTGACCTGGTGGCCATAGATGGGATCACTAAGGAAGAGAGATTAGAGAGAACAGGGCTATGGATGAAGCTTTGGGGATACCTCCACTTCATGGGTAGGAAGAGGAAAAGGAAATAGGGAGGATAAACCTTACATCCTGTCATTCCACATTGAAATCTGTGGCTGCTTGGTAGTCAGGGACTGTGTATTGTCTAGAAAGGATTGCCCAGTGGTTTGACTGAGATGTAGGAGAGTTAGGGAAGCTCAGGACAGAGTCTTCTGCTGATGCCAAAGTTTATCAGGTAGGAATATTAAAGCACACTTCAGGAACTCAGGAGGACGAGGGCAGACTGCTGTAGAAGGGTGGCATTTAGATCAGGGTTTGGGGTAGTGGAAGTTCTAAAGATATAGGTACTCCAGAGAACCAACAGGCACTAAATTAAGATGGTGGAAGAGTGGTTGTGGGCCAGAGTGTGATATGGGGTGTGTGTTGGAGGGGGAGAAGAGAAGAGGGGAGGGGGAAGAGAGAGAAGAGAAGAGAAACAGAGAGAGAAAGAGAGGGGAGAGAGAGAGAGAGAGAGAGAGAGAGAGAGAGAGAGAGAGAGAGAGAGAGAGAGAGAGAGAGAGGGAGGGAGGGAGGGAGGGAGGGAGGAGAAAGAGTAAGTCAGGCTTCTGAGCTTGGGGAAGAGGCCTGAGTGGAGCAGAAAGGGAATAATGGATATTCCTATTGGTTGGGAGAGCATTGTAGCCTAATTGAGTATCCAGAGACTCTGTCTCTTCAGCTCCCTCTCAAGGAAGGACTGAAGGTATAAAGGTCCCACTTCCTTTCTGCTTTGCAGGGAGGAAAAAGGTTCTAACGTCAGAGCCTAGCCTTTCATTCTGGGGAGTAATACTTCCATTTTTGGCTTTTCATGAGCTGTATTCCTCTAGAAGCAGGCCCACGATTCCAGAAATGAGTGGAGTAGGTAGCCCTAAATAGGTTGCTGTACCTGAGAGAATTGGGTAAGAGAGGAGAAGGGGAGACTGAGAGACTGAGAACTTTGCCTAGCAAGCAATCAACAAGCATCTTTTAAGCGCCCGCTGTGCGAGGCGCAGTGCCAGGTGCCAGGGATACAAATATAGTGGTGAAAGAATTGCCCTTGAGGAGGGGAGGGACTATATGTGATGACAAATTATAAGCAAAAGAGATAAAAGGTAATTGGAGGAGGGGAGAAGATACTAGCAGCAAAGGGCAAGAGAATCCAGGAAACCCTTATATAAAATGTGGCATTTGAACTCAATTTTGAAGAAAACCAGGGTTGCTATAAGGCAGAGATGAAGAGCGAGTGTATTCCAGACACAGAGAACAACCTGTGCGAATACACAGAGATGGAATAGAATGTCCTGCTTGGGGAAGAGCAAGAAATTTAGTCCTTCCTTTGTATCCCCAGCATTTAGAGACATAGTAAGCCTTACATATAGTAAGCATATAACAAATGTTTATTAAGTGACTGACCACAGGGTCGGGGAAGAGAAGTAATATGTCACATAGAAAGATTGGCTGAAACCAGGTTGTAAAGGACTTTAAAAGCCAAATAGAGGAGTTTATTGTGGACCCTAAAGGCAATAGAGAGCCATCGGGGTTCAGTGAGGAGGGGGTGACTTTTTCACACATGTGATTTGAAAAAATCATGCCGGCAACTGTGTGCAGGATGAATTGGGAGTGGAGCAAGTTTGAACTAAGGAAACCAAACAGAAGGCTATTGCAATAGTCTGGGGAAGAGATGATGAGCAGCTGAATTAGAGTGGTGGCCTTGTAAGTAGGAAGGAGACTAATTTGAGATATGTGGAGAAGAAACAAGATTTTCCTTAAGGCAGAAGAACTAGGGCCAAAAAATGGGAGCATGCCAGAGAATGAAACCTTAGCCTCATCTATAAATGTGGGAGGAAAGTGAGGCCTCATTCCAGCCAAACTAGGAATGGGCATGACCAGGACAGAGAAGAGGCCCCGAGGTAGCCAAAAACATTTGGAGGGCTATCTCCATCTTTGCACCTGTCATTTCCCCAGAATATCTCTATATGGCTACTAGTATATATCAACTTTTTAGTGAGTAGAGAAGGAGATTGGAGGCAGGGGGAGAGGTAAGGGGAGGCAGAATTTTTTTTCCAAACATGGTGGATGAGAAACAACATGGCATAGTGGAAACAACACTGAATTTGGAGTCGAGTGAACAGAATTTGAACCTCTCTATATGAACCTGGCAGACTACTTAAGCCTTCTGAGCGTCTGTTTCCTCATAGGTAAAACGGAGAACATGAAAGCAGTGTGCCTTAGACTAAGGAGGAGCTGAGTTCAAGTACAGCCTCTAAC